TTTTTTTTAACATTTCTGGAGAAGATGAAGTGATTCTTTAACTTTTTTGAAAATCTAGAGATTTGAATACTAACTTTGCTCAATCTTTGCTTTAATTACATGTCTAAAACCATTTGTTTTGTTTCCTTATAATAAACAAAGACATTTTGTGGTTCAATTGTACTTAGCCGGAGAAGATGGAAGAGCAACTGAAGTCGGAGCAGTTGAAACGAGAAAGAAAGAAAAGGGCAAGGGAGGGTGGGTCTGGTGGAATAGAAATAGGGTGGTGGGACCCATATGTTTATTAACAATTATTTTATCTTTAATAAATAAATAAAGAATAAACTTTATATTAATTCAAAAATAAATAAACAATGGTAATTTAGTATTTTTTTTATTTCTATTAGGGACCAAATACGCAACAAAAATACATTGTAGGACCGTCCGAGTTAAAAAATAAAATTAGGGACTGGACGTACAAATTATCTCAAACCATGGACCATCCGTGCAATTTACTCTATCTATTTTGACCTGATTATAGCTTTTTTTGCTTTAATTGTTTTAGGATTGTATTTTGTGGCTCTCTAGGACCACTTTTATTGCTAATTTATTGGTTTATTTAAAGTATTAGCTGTATACATTTTATTGGTATAAGTTTTTTTAAGCGCAATACATGATGTGAGTGAGTGATTAGATCTAACATAACAAATAAAATGTAGGAAAGAGATATAAGGCCATGTGTGAATTTGTCATTTTATTCTTTTTGTCGAAAAAGTAAATAATAATTGAATAATCACTGTTTGTGGGGTACATGCAAGTCCATTGACTATAAATGTTAATTTTTTTATAGACAAAGTGAAAATGGTCCATATATTTGTCGAGATTAGTGGTTTTGATCGATAAAAAAAATTTGGTGGTATATTATTGGTTTAATTTTAGATATTTTGTAGGTTTTGGTTTTTATATAGTTAATATGTTTCTATGGATTTGGTCCATATTCAATCTGAAATGACTAATATGTATTTAAATAATTCTTTTTTAATTTATTTTATTTAATTTCTAATTATTTTACTTAAAAGAAAAAGAAAAAGAAATCTCTCTCTCTCAACATTCAATAAGGTGTAAATGTTATTTCCGTGAAACCCAAAGCCTTTACATAATCGAATTACGGTCCACAATCCTGAATAAAGAAGCATCCTGAAACTGGGTGTTACATGGCTGAGGATATTTTCATGGCTCGACTAGAAGGTTTTAAACATGCCAAATTCTCTAATAAGGTGTGAAATCTTGACAAATCCATCTACGGTCTGAAACATACATCTCGTAACTAGAAAATTTGTTTCCATGAAAAAGGTCAAAGAGTTTGGATTTTTCTAGAAGTGAAGATGAGTCTTGCGTGTATGTCAAAGCTAGTGGGGGTGTAGTGACCTTCCTAGTCTTATATGTGGATGACATACCCCTAATAGGAAACGACTTTTCAAATTTTCAAGAAATTAAGTCTTGGCTTGGGAAATGTATATTCTTGGAATAAGGATTTATAGAAACAATCAGAAACGTTTGCTACGACTTAGCCAGAGTACATACTTGGATATAATATTGAAACAGTTCAATATAGAGAATTCCAATAAATGGGACTTACCCATGCATCATACTGTTAAACTAAGCAAGGCTCAAATTCCCAATAGTGATAAGGAAATAGATACGAGGATTTGAGCCCCATATGCTTCTACTATAGGATCGATCATGTATGTTATAACATGTACTCGACCTGATGTGGCTTATGCTTTGAGCATGGTTAGCAGATATCAAGAAAATCCTGGTTTGGCTTATTTGACTACAATGAAAACATTCTTAAGTATTTTCGGGAAAAAAAATGATATTAGTTTTCGGTGGCAAAGATGAACTTAAGGTGAGTGGCTATAGTGACACCAATTTTCAAATAGACCGAGATAATAGTTATTCGCAATCTGGATGGATATTTCTATTAAATGGTGGAGCGGTGACTTGGAAAAGTTCCAAGCAACAAACGATGGTTAATTCTACTCGTGAATCAGGTTACATCGCGGCAAGCGAGGCAGCAAAGGAGGCCATGTGGTTGAATATATATCGTGTCGCGGTGACCGGTTGACCTCAGTCAATGGCCGCCATTTAAGCCACCACACCATGGCGATTTGCTTGCCACGTCACGACGCTCTTCCTCCAATAGCATACTACTTTGACCACTACGCCGTGGCAGCCATATATCGTTCCATGGGGGCAAAGTATATTTCCTTTCTTTCTTACAGCGGGGTCTCACCGTGTCGTGGTGATCAACCACCGCGTCACGGTAGCTACTTGACAGCAGTCCCTTGGCTAATTCCATTCCAACATTAGGACATTTTTCTTCAATCTTCAAACCTTCATAACTTCTTCGTTGCTAACCCGCTTTCAATGTTCTTTATACTCACACGAAGGTGGCTATATACTCTACAACTATTTTAATTCATATATCATTGACTTAATACAGGTCTTAATCTATTAAGTCACAAAGTTGGCCAAAAAAGCATAAAATTCTCATTTTACCATTTTGACCAAAAATGCATTTTCTCCTGCACTCTTTCACTTGAACTTGTTCCTCTAATCTCTTCTAAATGACTTAAACTCTTATTGGCCATTTTCATGAAGTCACAACTTCATATTCTCATCTTTTTCTCATAATTGACCATTTTGCCATTTTGATCAATATTTGACTAAAAGGCGACTTTTTCTAAATTTCAAGTTCTTACATATTGCTTTACACACAAAGCACAATCCAAGTTCTACAAAGTAAGAACAATTAACTGATGGACTAATAACTTAATTCGTTGACAATAAGGCAGCTTAATTAGAAAATAAAGTTCGAAGGACTTAATATGTAATTAATTATATGGTTGGATAATTATAATATATTAATTAATATTAATTTATTTTTCTCCTATTTTTCGAATTTCAAATAATTGATTGGGTGGCAAGTTAGGAAATAATATAAATAACCTTTATTTTTTGTTGTATTGTTTTTTCTTTTTCCCAAAAATCTATAGTCTGTTCGCCTTGAATTTTGGACGGGGACTTGAAAGCATATAGGCAAACATTTTGTATGGTTGGATTGAGTACATCAATACCAAACGCTTGGAGATCGCTGTTGGACAACAACCCTAGTTTGAGTTTGAAATTTTGATGTTCTTGGCTTATGACCGTAAAACTACCATCTGCAAGATGACGCATTGTTATTTTGATTTGCACACATAATAAGGGGACTTTATTTTTAGTTCTAGAAGATTATTATCCATTCGATAGAGGTAATTTTTCTTTCATTATCGTGATTTGCAAACATAATAGAGTAATTTTCTAGAAGATTATTATCCACTCGGAGGATTGGGAATTAGGAGTTTAAGAGCTTTCAACCTTGTTCTCTTATTGACATGGTGGTGGCGGTTTCGAGATAATACGAACTCGATTTGGAAAAGAGTAATTAAATGTATTTATGGTGATCAAGGAGGGTTGGGGTGTCGATTTCTAGCCGCAACAGGACCACCGTTTGGGGCAGAATCAATAAAATTAATATCGACATGGAGCATCTACATATAGATTTAATCAACCTCTTTTATAGGTATGGTGACACCGGAGTGAACTCGAATATTAGTAACCGGCGCTGGAGCCTAAATGGGGGAGGAGAGTTCACTGTCTCATCTTTAAGGAATGAAATTGACAATAAGTTATTGGAGAGCACTAACTTACCCACCATCTGGTCTATCCCACGAAGATCAATGTTTTCACTTGGTGAGTGCATCTTGGGAGATTATCCACCAGAGTCAACCTTGTTCGGAGGGGGGTTAACATTCCCATCATATGTTGTCCGCTTTGCGATGCTTTTGAGGAAAACGAGGTTCATATTTTTAACAATTGCTCAACTTCAAAAGAGATATGTGGTCACCTTCTCAATTGGTGGAAAGATCTTCCTGTTGTGAATGATTCCTTCGACGATCTTTTGGGGTTAAATTCTTCCTTTACTATGGCCTCCAGGCCCCTAGAAATCCTTGAAGTGACGTCAAGGGCATTCTTGTGGATCATCTGAACGTACAGGAACGATCTAGTTTTCAAAGGCAAGGTGAATAGACCAAATACTTTAGCTTATGAGGTAAAGGTTTTGGCGTTTTTATAGCTTAAGAGTATAGCCAAATGGGGTAGAGATTTGTTATAGGAGCCATGGGCGAACAACCCCCCGTATTGTACCTTGTAACTCCATCATTTTGCTGTTCAGTTTTATTAAAGTCTAGTTGTTAAAAAAAGATTTGGGGATTCATTATGATGAACGATTTTGTCGCAATTTCTTTATTTTTTTTCTAATTTTCACCATGATCCAACTTTGAATCACTTATTTAAGAATATTTCATTTTCATAGTTTATATAGAAAAATGTTTTTTTAATCCAAACTATGTAATCACATTCTTTTGTTGATTTGAAATATATACTATTTTACATGCAACTCATTAAAATGAGTAAAATGTGATGGATATAATTTGTGTTAGTTGTATAAAATATAAACCAATAAAATAAATAAATAAAATAAATAAAAACGAAACATTGTGACCTAAATTGGTCAGAGTGTTTGAGATTGCTTATTTGAAATGTTTATTTACTTATTTCTGTTTGATACCAGATAAGTTAATAAACACTTACTAAAAAAACTTAAGTTGTTTTAAATAAGCAATCACAAACACCCACCTTAAACATCGTTGCATAAACAAATAAAAAATTAAATATTTTTATATTTAATCAACGACACTCATTTCCAGTTTCCTGTTAGAGAGTGTAAATGTTGATTATAGACAAGATTGTGATTGCATATTTTGCCTAAAAAGCCATTGTTGTATAAACCGCAAAAAAAGGTAATTCATCATTATTTAAAAAATCATTTCAACATATGTTAAGCACTTGAGTTTCTTGGCATATAAGTTCATTTGAACCTTTAAATTGACCAAAATATTCCCAAAACAAAGGGAATGTCTATAGATAACCCCTCTTCTTCTTCTTCCTACGATTCTACGTTATCTATGCACTTGTGTTCATTACTCTTAATTCTCTTCATGTTCATCTCATTCTCATGCTACTCCAATTACGACTCTATTCTCATTGTGTTTCAGGGTTTCATTGATCAAATGAAGTTCCTCTTCATAGCATTGATCTTTCTCCTTATTCCTTTCCTCTTCTTCTTCTTCAATGGTCAAAGAACCCCAACCATGGTGGATAAGGAGGAGTTGGTTGCTGCAGGATATGATGGGAGTGTTTGGGGAGTTCTTTTGGTTTTAATCATTCTCTTGTTTTTCGCTTTCTTGCCACTCTGATATGAACCGGAAATGGTTGATTTTGTGTTATTATTAGGCGGCATAATGGCGGATGGTGGTGATCACGGTGACGCGTTTTGTTAATATATGCAGCTTCCGGTGGATTTGTTGGTTGCCTGGATTACGTCAGCAAGCAATGTGGAGTTATTATATTTTTTTATTATTTTTTTTTTAATTTTCCCTCCTAAACACTAGTGATTGTTTCAAAATAAAAGCATATGGTCAAGAGTCAAGTTATGACTTTTTAAGTTCTTTTTTGTTGTCGACGTGTGTGAATTTATTTGTACAATGGATTGATGGAATATAAATATACTTTTGTTTATATTTTGATGAGAAATAAATAAAAAGAATCGAATTTCTTGAAATTTTATAATTAATTGTCGACTCTATATGCAACTTTATTTTTTTTTATTAATCTTGTGATAAAAACAAATTAAGAAAACTTATGAAACAATATCAATCTGATGTATTTAGCAATAAAATAAATAAGTAAATTAAAATAAATGCATCGTTAGAAAATGCTCTTTTTCTAAAAAAAAAATCGATAAACCTAAACCAATGTCGATACTTATACTAAATGTTTATTTATTATCATTTGCATGTTCTTTTATCATAGAACACATATATTGACATATTGTGTGATTTTTGACCGTTGACCAAAATACTAAATACCATTTCTATTCTATTTAAGAAAATAAAAATCACCTTTACACAACTATTTACAAAAGTTAAGTAGAATACACCCTAGTTGGGCTTTAAAACAGATTTTACAAGCCCAATCACAAGCTTGACTATATTTGGATTATGTAAACAAAAATTTGTGAAGTTTGAAAATACTATAATCATTATCATTATAAAACTTTGTAGCTGATTTTATTACATTAAAAACTATTTGTCTAACGTAATCTTTTGTTTTTCTAGACGGTATGTTAGTATATGTCTAGGATTGAACCAAATATCTTCTTGTTAGAAACATATTATTAGACACATTGTTAATCAAGTGGGCTAACCCTAACTTGTGACATAATCTCTTTTGTTTACCTCACTTTTCTGAAAAATCAAACACAAAAACATGTTTCTTGATTAATGAACATGGATACTTTGTGAGAATGCAAACATGTGTACAAATGTTGTATGTCGTTCTAATGGTATAATGTGGAATTTATCATTTGGCTATTTGATTACTTACATTGTGAAGGGAAATTTCGAGACAAGGTTGTGTTGTAGATCAAAACGAAACTATTTTGATAGTGATCACTAGGCATGAGCAAACGGACCGAACCGACCGGAACCGGCCCGACCCGGGAACCGGCTTCGGCCAAAATCAAGAACCGAACCGGCCTGGCGGTTCTGGTTCTACCGGTTCCGGTTCCGGGTCCGGTTTTTGCCAAGTTTTTGATTTTGAAACCGGTCTGATTTGACATGCTTCCTTGTGAGGCTTGTAACTCATTCAATTTTTAACCAAATCAAGCATTTTTATAGTCTAAACTTAACTACAAAACCTAAACTACGGGTAGGAAAAAGGTCCAGGTCAAAAAAATTTAAATTGAGTGAGTTATGCACATTTGAACAACAAAGTCAGATTACGTTTAATTGTTGTAACATAAAAAAAATCTGATTTGACACTCTTCCTTGCGGGGCTTGTAACTCATTCAATTTTTAACCAAATCAAGCGTTTTGATAGTCTAAACTTAACTACAAATCCTAATCTACATGTAGGAAAAAGATTCAGGTCAAAACAAGTTAAATTGAGTGAGTTATGCACATTTGAACAACAAAGTCAAATTACATTTAATCGCTGAAACATAAAAAAAAATTCTGATTTGACACCCTTCTTTGCGGGGCTTGTAACTTATTCAATTTTTAACCAAATCAAACGTTTTTATAGTCTAAACTTAACTACAAATCATAATCTACATGTAGGAAAAATATTCAGGTCAAAATATGTTAAATTGAGTGAGTTATGCACATTTGAACAATAAAGTCTAATTACATTTAATTGCCGAAACATAAAAAAAAATCTGATTTGACAGTCTTCCTTGTGGGGCTTGTAACGCATTCAATTTTTAACCAAATCAAGCGTTTTTATAGTCTAAACTTAACTACAAATCATAATATACATGTAGGAAAAAGATTCAGGTCAAAATAAGTTAAATTGAGTGAGTTATGCAGCTTTCAAAATTTGAGTGAGTTATTCGGTCCGGTTCCCGGTTTTGGGCCGGTTCTTACTGGGTCCCGGTTCCAAAAATTAACGAAATTATAGTATCGGTCCCGGCCCGACCGGTTCCATCGGGTTCCGGTTCCGGTTCCGGGACCGGTTCCTGCCGGTTCCCCGGTCCATATGCTCATCCCTAGTGATCACATCATGCATTAACCCGTTTTGAAAACTATAAGTATCTTAGCTTATGTATGGTTTTACAAATATGTTTACAATGAAAAACTGTAACTGTCATTAATTTGTTGGAGATTGATTTATCTAACAAAAGAAGTATATCTTTTATATATTACTCACGCAATCCTTGAAATGGATAAGGAAGACAAGAGATTCAGTTTTCAAAAGTTATTTCTGTTACATAGAAGTTATAACGATTTTTTGGGATGAAAGTGAGTCCAAACCCGGACCGGATGGACCCGGACCCGGAAAACCCGGAACCGGTTAACGGGATTTTGTAGAACCGAAAACTGGATCGGTATATAGGAGCCGGTTCCGGTTCGGTTCCGGGTACGGAACCGGGTAAAGTGGGTCTAGAACCGGAAAACCCGGAAACATCAAAGTGGGTATGTTGAAACCGGATAAAGTGGGTTTAGAACCGGAAAACCCGAAAACCCCTGAATTTTTTGGTAATTACTTACTACTTAGTAGTTGAATTTTAAAAATTTTCATATTGATATCCCAACTTCGAAGGACTGTAAGTCATTGAATATGAAACCAAAATTGACAAAATTATAGTCTAAAATCATGTACAAACTCTAAACTACACACTGCAAAAACCACATATCAATCCGAATTTAAATGAATGAGATATGCATGTGTTAACATTTTCACAGAATTCAAAATACAAAAACAAATAGCTGAAAAGCTGAAAATTTTCAGCTTTGATATCCCGACTTTGGGGGGCTGTAAGTCATTGAATATTAAACCAAAAATAACAAAATTATAGTCTAAAATCATGTACAAAATCTAAACTACAAGTTGGAAAAAACCGCATGTCAATCCGTGTTCGAAATAGTTTCAAGGAGGATTGCATGGCTCAAGGAAGTCAGGAAGTTCTGGTGGATTCTTATCAAGTTCCTCAAGCTCAACACTTGAAAGAAAAGTTGAAGAGGTCACTTTGGGGGAAATTGTTGGAACATTAAAGTGACCCTCTTAAACTAAAAAGAAATATGAAGTTGCTTCAGCAACCGCAGTCATTCTCTCTCCGTAGTTAAGATCAGCAACCGCAGTCATTCTCTCTCCGCAGTTAAGATCAGCAACCGCAGTCATTGTCATCAGTTTCTTAGATTCAGTCTTATATCTGTCTCTTGTTTAAGTACTTTCTTTTATCCAAAGTTCCCTGCGTGACAACTCTTTCAGATTAGACTGTATATAATCTTCGAGACTCTATAAATAGAGTTCTCCACTTCTCAATGAAAACACCTCTCTTACTTATCTTGATTCTTATCACACGTCTTTCTCTCTACTATCTTATCACCCAAATATAATCATAACTCATTGTAATCTCTCTTAAAAAGCAAGTCTTTACTAGACTTAATCACTAAGTTTGATCTCACTTACTAACTTGGTCTGATTGCATTCCTTGTTAAGAATCAAC